CCTCAGTGGACACTCCTCAGTGGAGTGTCCAGAAAAGCTCTATATAAGTGTAAGCTTCCACTAATCAATAATGTAAGATGAAAACGGTAATTTGATAAGCTCATGTAAACTATCTGGTACACCATCGTATCCAAAACCCTTGTGATATTTATGTGTTTTATAGCAAATTTTCATTAACTACTATATATTTATGTGTGTTCACTTAAAGACAACATAAAATGGCATAACACTTATACAAGTTGTCGTATCCTTAACGTATCCTGCCTCCGTGGACAGCAGTTCTCTCTCTCTCTGAAGTATACATGCATGATACTTAACAACCTTGAAACGTATTGTGCCTCCATGGGAAGTTGAGGTTATTCTTACAGGCATTGGTTTGCAGTACTCCTAGATTTGCTAGCCTATTTTAACAATATGTGATCAAGGAGTAATGATCGGCGTGTGCTAATTATTGCTGTGTGAATCCACTGGCTAAAACAGTTTGCACACAACAATAATATTGTGGAGGCAAAAGTCCCATGAATATTACTGTGAAGAACAAGATCAAGATATTATGTTGGGAATTATAAATTATAATTTCAGCTGGGAACTGGGTAAGCTTGCCAATTTAGCCTTGAATCGGTTTATAAAAAGAGAGATGCCTTTTTATGGAATATGTTGGCTGGAAACCAAGATAACACATCGCTATCCAGTGACACAGTAAAAGATTGTGACACAGCAGGTCCTCTTTACCTTTCTTTGCAGCAGCAGCTGCTGCTTCTTCCTCCTTCCTTTTCTTCTCCTCTTCAATAGCCTTCATTTTGGCCTCATACTCATCTGCCCTGGCCTTCCACTCCTTCCTGTTGTTCATCAGGCCATCGTACATGGGAGTGATGGCATCATGGAACCTGGAGAACTCCTGCAAGCAAGGAACATGGCAGATGAGTCTGCACCCAGCATAAAACAAAAGTTACAGCTAGACAGATGTTTGGGAAGAGGTCAGCTTGTAATCTTGCACTGCTGCTCGCTTATCTCCTCTGATCTCCTTCCTCCACCCCATTTTCATCCTGGCAGCTGCCTCCCTGGTTCATTCCTCCCAAGTTGGGTGGGGTGGGTAGTGTCAGCTTTGATTTTAGGGCCCAAGTTGTCATTGTTAGTGCCAAACATTAAAATATTAATTATGCTAGTCCTTTACATAATCACATTAATTAGAATTTCACAACTAATAAAATAGTGTTCTTAGAAATCCACTTCTGCTTGTTACATCTTTATTATGAGCTGCCAAACTACAAACATAGCTTTTTATCTGTGTTTATTTAAAAAAAAAACATAACATGGTATTTAAAGAAATAATATCCTTGTCAAAACTGAAGATACTGTATCACAAAGGTAACTCTTATCTATTCAATGTCATCCTATTATGAACATAATGTCCAATATACCCTCGTGGCAAAGCTTTTTGGATTGAATCTGCAGGTTATGCTTAGGAAACCCACTTTCTTAACTTAGTTACATAAATCTCCTCCATAAAGTAACCTGTACTAGTTCATCCGTTATATGTAAGGATCTTATTCTGGTGAAGACTGTGGGAAGCTGAAGCCTACTCCAGATGTATGGGGCTCAAAACAGAACCCTGTAATACCTGGATCAGGTACCAGCTCATGAAATAGCCAATCCCAGCCTGCAGTCAAACACAGGGAAAACATACATGTACAAGCCCAACACAGACATCTGAGGAAAACTCTGGAGTTGTGAGGTGCTGTTGCTACACCACTGTGGCATCTTATCATACAACGATTCAGGTCAAACAGTTTAGCTCAAAGCAATCATTTTCTCACTGTGTTTTTTCATCTAAAATACCTGCTACCAGTATGGCCCATTTTAACAGAACTTTGAGAAGCATGTTGACCAGCATAATGCAAGACTCCATGTGAAAGTGCAGACTGTACCTTGTACACGAAGGAGCAGACAAAGTCAATGAAACCACACTGGAGCTTCGGGAGTTCAGCTGCTTTATTTCTGTCCATCATAGGCTAGGGTCACCAAAAATATGAAATAAAGTTAAACACACAACACATGACTTTGGCTAGAAAATTATTATAAAAATAAAAAGGTGGAAAAGAGTAATGGGATGAAATTGCTTGAACAGAATTCTGGATTATATGCTGATTCAGACAAAGTGGAATAGTATAATTCTTTTAAACTAACGAAAATGTATAGATTTTGTCTAAGCTGCATAATAAAAACTGGAGCAGTATTTAGGGACCTAGAGTAGTTAGCAATGCTGTTCTCTCCTTGGGCAAGCCAAATAACTCAGACTGCTCCTGTAAAATGCTTGCCGATATAAAGAATATTCTCCATATCAAATAAAATATTTTTTCTCAACTGAATTACCTAAATAAAAGATAAATTATTATACAAACATGAAAATACAACTGCTTAATTGTGGCAGAATATGACTGGCACATAATACTGCTTGAATGAATATTTTCATTTTCCATGTGATGTGTGATAAACATGGTGGTAAAAAAAAACAACCCATCACTCACAATGGGATTCTGCTGTAGCACAGTCCTTTCCAGATCACCCTGCTCCCAGAATTCTGCTGCTACAGACAAAGCCACCTTATATATAAAGAAAATAAGAAAAGTGAAGGTTACAAATGTGCTTTGGACAAACATCCAGCATCGGGACATTAGTTTTCAACAGGTAGTGATGAATAGTAAGACCTGACCATTAAGGGTGACCATAAAATGTTCTACAGAATGCAGTGGAAGAGTCGCTACACTCTTAGAAAGAAAATACATGTATGGAATGAAAATTCCTATGAACTATGAAAATTTAAGTATTTGGAGTCTTACTCAAAATCAGAGAGTCAATGTGGAAGGAATGTAATCCTAACTAATATAATAATGATGCTTTTAGAAAGCGACTAATCATTTTGGTAATGTATTTACCTTGCTCTGTACTTCCCATGGTTTTGTAATGGCTGATAAGTCACATGCAGTCATCATCATGGCCCTACAGTTCATCAGAAATACACATGGCAATTATTTTTTTAGCAGTATTTCAATATTTTGTGTATTATATTAGGCAGAGATAGTGTTTATAAGCATTATTTTCATTTTTTTCTTCAACAGCAAACAGAAAAAACATATTCAAGTAACTCAACAGACAACTCATGATAGTATTTGATTTCATACCAGAAAGCTAAAAATATTTTCACTCACATCACAATTTCTTTCCTTGTTGTCTCCAGTGATAAGAAATCTACCCACTCCTTTTCATTTTCATAAGTCTTTGACAAGTCAACAATTTTCTGAAACATGGTCCTCTTTCTATTGTTAGAAAGAAAAGCAAATCAATAATAGTTTAGTCTTTTTTTAAATCAGTCTTTTCCAACTGTCTGAAACGAATGTCTCCACAACTCTCAGAATGCACAGCAAGATCTTCAATTATACTGCACATTGATGAGATTCAATTAAGAAAAGTTTAATAATGCAAGCACAATATTTCTATTAAAGTAAAACTGACTTCAAATACCTATATACACACAATACAATATAAAAAAACAGCATGCTGAATATTGTTTTTTTATTCTATAGTTTGCAGTGTGTAAATCCCACTTATTTCACTCCCATTGGTATTGTATTGGCTATACACATCTCTCTGAAAGTACTGAAACAGCACAATATAGTGGATGGAATTTTAAACACAAAGGATAAATTCACATTTGTATCTTCTTTCTATTTTTAAGATGACATTTTGAGAGCTCCCGATTGCCACATACATACATTATTTATTTATAATGCCTGAAAATATCTGACTTTGAACAAATATTACAAAAGTAGTAATATATTTCAGATGTCACTCACTTGAAATAAAGTGCCAAGTCTGTTGCAATAATGGCAATATCCATAAGGTGGATTACATGTTCTATCTGTCTTCTGTTCAGGTTTTGGTAAATGTTTAAGGACTGTGCAAGAAAGGAGAGAAGGTTAATTGAACAGGGTTTATATTCCTTTCAAAGATAATATAATATGAACCAGTTAACCATGTCAATGTGTCTGTTTTTATGTCTGCCTTTAAAACATGAATAATTAGTGAGAAAAGCTTTGATCAAACTGTAATGAAAAACCGTATTTTGCAAAAACATCTTAAATGTAACCAGCTCAGCAGCATTGTTAAGATATACTCCAATTTTAAAGGCAAGAATATTTTTTGGATTCAAGTACAATTTAAGATGTTTTTTTTTTATATTTAAGGTGATATAAAAATCTGTTTTTTAGTATGTTAGGATTTTACCCTGAATTAATATCAGAGACAAGTGCATTTTAGAGCATGTATACATATAAAATGAAGGTCAGTAGACTTTGCCTAGAATCATGGTAAGGAGAACATACATTTTCTTTATGTACATTTATGGTACTTTTATATTAGGATCTTCATACAAATTCTCAACAAGAATGCACTTTACATTTTCCAGCCATTCTTTCTCAGAAATTCTAGCATTCACAGAAACCTGAAGCCTATCCTGATTCAAACAGGAGCCTATTGTATCCACTCTAGATACAGTATACACTCCACACAAAAGGTACCCCTGGCCAGAAATGAACCAAGACACAAGAGAAACATACTGTACAGTGTTTCATACATGATGTCCAAGAGCACTGTATGTTGAATTGGATCAAAAATGGGTATTTGCTATGTAGCAAATTTTCTGAAACTTACCTTTTGCCGGTTATGCTACCTTTGATCATAGAAAAATGTGACTGAAAAGATAGCCGAACAAAAGGACTGAGGAATGAGTCTTATATACTTGTATATACTGTAATACCAACCTCTTCTGAAAGTAAAAACTTGCCAAATTCTAAATGGTGCCTCTCAAGGATGGACGAGCCGTGGAGCTTTGCCAGTGGATTTTGTGATCTGTCAGAAAAAAAAAGTAATTTAATTGAAGAACAAATATAAGTATACTGTATATCAAATGAGAGGTTCACGTCCTCTCACTATTGTATATTGCCATGTGCTGCTTTCAATCTTATAAATAGCAGAACATTACAGTACAATGGATATGATTGTTATAATGCATATACGCAAAGCATACTCACTTCATCTGGTATAGATTGTTTGTCCCTCTGTGATCAATATCATGCAAGAAAGCAGCTGTGATCATTGCCATCACCTCCAGATCAGTGTAGTACCTCTTTAACTTCCCTGTCTGCCACAAAAGACACAAAGATAACAGGATACTGTACATGAGTCCGTCGCATAGGTGCAAACATGAATATAAACACAGTCCAATTTGACATTCACACATTTTGAGCTCAAGCTTTGCACAGAAAAGATTAGTTCCCCTCTGAAAAACAGAAGCCTTCTTTAGGTGTCACCTGAATTATCCTCTATTTGTTCATTTGCAGACTGCATGCTCATGGATGTGCTGATTTTCTGTATCAATGTGAAGTCAAAGATAGTATTTACCCGATTTTCATTAAAAAAACAAGGGATTCTGTCAGGGATCAAGCAAGGCTCAGGCTGTTAAGTTATGTGCTGTTGGAATAATCAGATACCAGGCAGGAACTTTCTACATCTTCAACCACTCACGTACTATCATATCAGTTACAATATTTCTTGAAACATTTTTATGTGAAAACTTCACATATGAAAGGTATCATCATCAACAACAACAACAACAATAATAATCCATTAGTATGTTACAGTATATTTGAGATGACCGGGGCACTTACTGTCAGCAGTGTGAACATGGTTTGTCCAACATTGAAACCATGGCGCCAGTTGTGGTAGGTGATCTTTCTGTACCCTTTACTGACGGAATACATGAATCGCACCAAGACCTAGTGCACAGATTGAACAAAGAGCTAGATTTTGAGGGATAAATCTTACAATTAATTGTATATTGAATAAATTTATGACATTTAACAGTATAGAAACAAAAGCTCTGCTGTATTTAAAAATATGAAGTACTCAATAAGCAGGTTTATACAGTATTTTACAATGTTAAATGCTTCTACAAATACACAAAAGGGACAAACAGACCTTTAACTCTGTATTCCTTTGGAGTGCTCAACCGTTCCTAAGTATTTCCATCCAACAAATGCTTCATAAGGCTTTAGATGATGAAAATGTGCAGCAGCAGGCAATTACTGTCAACTTTGTCAATTTAAGTCAACTTAAATATGACTTACCTCCTGTGGAATCTGAAATTTTTTCACCACCCCAACCTCATAGTACATCTTGATGCCACATTTCACAAGCTCTAGTTCTGTGCAGTCAAAATCTGAGAACCGGAACTCGTAGATTTCAAATTTCCTTGGGTCTGGGAGCTCTTTTTTCTGTAGACACACAGAATTAGCATTGAGACAGACACCGTGCTCACTGTGAGTTATCAAACAGTTCTTCAAAGAACTGATAAAGAAAAACTACCTGAGTCACCGATTTGCAATCACCTGGGTACAAACAATGGATTTATTTTTTTGTTTGAAATTCTTACGTCTGTTTTCTATAATTTTCTATAATGAGTCCTTACAGCTAATTCCCCTTTCCTGCTTCACTTTGGAGAGATTAAGGAATTTACATTCTAACAGATATTTTTTAATGAGAAAGGTCTTCATTCTTGTTCCTGCAACCTCAGTATGAACTAACGTGCTGTTCTTTTTTAATGTGTATCTGGGTTAGTCATGGTGTGCCTACAATCTCCCTTGTGGAACAATGTTGTCTACAGAGTGCATAATCCACATGATTTCAGAGGAGAAACATAAGACATTCTCTGCTGTTGGCTTCATAAAATCTTTAGCAAGTGTTACTTTTTTTACAGGGGATTGAATGTTACAGATTATATTTCTTCGGACAAAATTAGTTTAAATTTATCTTCCTTAAGTCCTAACCTAAGAATGATTCACCCAAAATTCACAGATTTATAGTTTTCAACATTATATTCCAAATATATTTGGAAGATAAAATAACTGGCAAGGGAAATTAGAATGAAGCACAATTTTATTGTATGAAGAAGCATCAAAAGAAAATTTAAACAGTTGGCTTTCTTTTACAGAAGTGTACTTGCTCCCTCATGCTATCATACAATCATATGAAGATAGACCTTAGTCCCTTGTGAAGCACATGAAGTGCCACAGATTACAAAAATAAATCTTTATTGGACATTGATGGTTACCATTACTGGGGGGGGGTCTTATTTTATTCTGTTTTTTTTAACAAAAACAAAAAATCAATTGCCATCAGGCACTTAATGCTTAAGGAAAACACAAATATTACTGCAACCATTTTTTTACCATTATAATTTAACGCTTCAATGATGCACAGTTTCTCTGTGAGATAAATGTGTTTCCTCAATAACTGATGGAGTTATTAACCTATAATGTCTCTGCAATTAAAATCTTTTTAAACGACCCCTCAGATTTTTTCAGAAATAATGATTCAATTTTAATAATGGTCTTTACCAGTATGTAAGAAAGTTCTTCCTCATCACAGTCGGCAGGCTCCTTCCCATAAACTTCTCTTGTTTTCTAGAAAGACATTAGATGAGATACGTTAGCAGGTCACACCTGTTTCAATAATCTTTTTTGATACCAAACATTCCTATACATTTAGATGTCTATTTTTATACAAACGTATAAAATTGAAATTAAAGTTCATAAGTTATAGATAGAAAAGTGTATCAGACAATACATTTCAACAGCATTTTCTTTGGTATATTTTATATTCATGGCAACTGTTCATTTTACACAACATATAAATACAGTATCTTTTAGGGAAATACATTAATTTTGATATGTTACTTGTAGTATTTTAAATATGGTTGTCATACATGTTTAAAATATGTTTAAAAGTTTAAAAAAGTGTGCAGAATACTGGATAATGGCACATCACTTAGAAAGAATGGAAGTGATAGCAACACCACTACAACAGTATAACATCACTGATTCCACAAAACTCAAACAGTCATTTTGGCTCTTATTGAAAATGGGGGAAAAGAAAATTATCTACCAGAATATTCTGAATTTCATCGTTTCTGCACTTCACATGATACAACACCATGTCCTGGGCAATGTCCTTTCTGTTCTCTAGCTTATTCATCTTGTCGTAGGTGTCTGTGTTGAGCACAGACCAGCCCAGAAATTGTGTCAGAGACTACAAGCAAAACATAACAGAGCAAAAGTTAAACAAAACAATTAAACATTTCTCTGATTCTCTAAGGTACTCCTAAATCTTTTTTTCTTAATGTTGTTTTGAATGTTTTCTTTTTGCATTAGCAAAGAGCTCTCTTTTTTGGTTTTGCTGAGTAAAATTACAATATACAGTAATTGAGGACTTGGATTTACCTCATGGCACCTTTTTTTCTAAAAAAATGGACAGTTTCTTTAATTCATAATAATGGTTTCATGTCATGTTTCTTCACTAATTGAAGCAGATCAAGAAGAGTCAAATAAATTATTCAAACTGCAAAACTGATACCTCTGTTTTAAGTTACTTTTTCTCTTTCTCCGATGTTACCTGCACTAATTAACAAATGTACCTCCGTGATAGTTTCATCCTGTTCATCAAATGGTTTGCCATCTTTTCTGTTGTAGAAAGTGGCCACTCCCACAATCTCTTCTTTCTTGTTCACAATGGGCAGTGACAACACGTTCTTGATTGTCCAGCCACTTTCGTCCAGAGGTCCTGCCTACAGAAAAGGTGGTAAATAAAGTCTTACTTGCTTTTGCAGCAACCAGCTTCACAAAATTGAAAAAATTACACAAGCATCATAACTTTTCATGCTTTTCTGTTAACTGGATTTTCTGACTTCTTTTATTATTGCGATAAAAAACAGGAGAATTTGCACATACTCCTCAGCCATATATAGGTATTTATTATTATTTTTTCATATTTTTTGAAGATTTAAAGCATGTACATTGTATACTGTATAATGTATATAAGCCAGGCTTAGGTCTCAATGTGTTATTAACTTTATTTATAGTTGAGTTCCTCATGTTATGGATGCTGTATTAATTTGTAACTTTGTTTTTACCTGAAACTTGAACATGTCCTCTGAGGTTGCATTCATGATGTTGCAGATCTGTTAAAGAGAAGGAACATCAAATTGGTACTTGAAGAACTGTTTTTCTTGTCCAAGTGCCCACACTGTCGACATATGGTAGCATTGTAATAAAAGCAATAATTTTTCAGATTTTATGTAATTATAAAAAAATACAAATTTAGAGAAAGAGAACTTTAGAAGACAAAATCGAGACTATATGACTATCTTCATGAATGCAGCTAAAATGTTACAGTACAGTACAGTTACAGTAGTTTCTGTAATATGTGGTGCTCTGCAAAAAAAACTAAACTGAAATTCCACTACCTTTTTATATTAACTCATCTATAAATAGGGTGTCAAAACATTCATCCCAACTGGAGCTCTTCTAAGCAGCATGTTGCTATTGTTTTTTTCATTTGGTTTGGCCATTTAGCATTGTATACAGAACAAGCAAAAATTGAAGCACTTACAAAGCCACTTTCAGCTACATAGGTTGGTAGTCCACTAACCAAAGCCCAGTGATCTGCTGGTGGATTCCTTTAAAAAAGAAATGATTCTCAAATTAATTTGCTACTAGCAACCAGCTGACCAGGTGGACTGAATGGTGTCCTCTTGTTTGTAACTTTTCTTATGTTCTGAAACATTTCTTATGTTCTTATGTTAACATCTTCCCTTCTAATGACCTGCCATGGTACCCGCTAATGTTAATAATTAATTAGTTATATTAATATTCCGCACTGAAACTTACTTAGACAGTTGTAAATGCATTTAATGGATTTAGACATCTTAAGTAGAATTCGTCAATCAGATTTTTAGAAATTTCTGAGATAATTCATAAGACATTCTATTAACATCTATTAACATCAATAAAATGTAATGGATTCTGAAATTGTAAAGCTATGTCTATGAAATCAATATAGAAAGTTTAAGAAATTGGAAAACTGCTTATGCCTTTTCTGTATAATAAGCATAGGATGAAAACTGGAAAATAGCTCTAATGATTAAATCCATACGTGATAATTTAAAACCCACCTAATTATTTTTAGAGACATATTTCAGGTTCATATTTTATTGACTAATCTTCAAACACAGCAATGAATGCTGTGATCAAATTAAATGAACACATATGGTTTACAAAAGCCAATGATACTCTCCTAAGGTTATCTTGTGGTGATATGATAAAAGTAAGGGGGTATTTAATAACCATGCACTAGTCCATATTCTGTGGGGTAAAAACAGTCGCATCAAACAGCTTAATTTTTAAATATAAAGGTTTTAAAGGTTTTTCCCTATAAACTGTATCTTATTCTTCTATTATCCTACTAATATTGTTAACATTGCTCTACTTTTTATATTTTCATGGGTGCTGCTATGCTACCATCAAATCTAATTATAATATATTAATAATACATAATATATATATATATCAGTATATTACATTATCATTGGAAAGGCCTTTTCTGCTACTATAATGATCTCTATTTTAAAAAAAAAGAATAAATGCACCTACGGGATAACTTTAATTTCTTCTTTTCCATGCAGAATATAGTCAATGACTTTGTAAAAAATGATTTCCTGTAACACATCAAGACAAGAGAAAATAAATAGTTGTGACATTAATTCCTTACCATATACCCCCCCATAATGTTCCAAAGTAATGGTGTGGATCTCCAGAAGAATCACTTTTTCCCCACTCAAAGCTATGATATTATATTGGTATTACAGTATATTATATTCCTGTCAGGTGGTTGCCTGAACAATAAACTGCAGTTTGTAAAATTTGTTAAGCAAATTATTATCCAGTTCAGTTATCAAACAAACACCTGAACTGCCATTAGATTTTAAAAACCTTATAGATGTTGTTGGATGTGAATCTAAAAATTCTACACCATAAAATTTTCATGTTATGTAAAACAATGACTTTATTAACACCTGATTCTTGAGAATCAGAATATTTTATTCTTAACTTAATATCCTGAATGTCTAAACCCTTACATTGAAGGGTGAAACCCAAACATCAACCATCTGTAAATTATACATTTCCACACAGTAGAAATAGAAAATTCTGTTAAGCACAAAGCTGCAATGAGATCATACATCTGATATTTCCTGTTGTTTTTCTGGTTGAGACTTACAAACACTGTAAGTCCGAAAAATTGTGAAGTCTATCAAACGTTAATAGAGCTTAGAAAGAATGGTAAGGTACACTATGTAAATCAATAACTGAATCAAGTAAGCTATTAGATGCTCAGTGAAAGAGAACACAGAGGTCCTGTCTCAGGGTTAATGGATTTAAAGCATTTTATGCATCAACAGCAAGTTTTTAGTCAGAGCTCTCTTGATACATAATGATAAATATATTTTATAATATATATAAATATATTTTAATGTTAGGGGTCAGAACCATTCTAAGCAATATATTTTAAAAACTGCTTTTTAAAAAATAACAATTTTGCTATGGGCAAAGCAGCCCAGGTTTCCCTTTCAGGAGAAAAAATGAAACATTAAGGATTTGTTTTACTTCTGACTTTTTCTAACGTTCTACAAAAAAGCATTAGTTAAAATTCTTCAGGTAATTTACAGTAGCTCACAATCACATTTATTGTACATATGTTAACATTGAAAATCTGTTTCTTGTCTCTGTGTCTCCGGTCTGTTCGATTCATTGCACACCCACCCTTCCATCTGGTGTTACAGGCCCAGAGTAAGGAGGTACTTCACCCATGAGAACAGGCCACACATCAAAGAACTCCTGCGAAACCAGACATACCAGACAGTTAGTAAACTCTTATAGTTTGGTGGCATGACATGAAAACTGCTTAACACCTGACACTTCACGCCTTTTCACACATAAGTGGTTGATGGAGCACTCAAGTCCGAATAAGGTAATTTTTTTTTGCTGTCTATATTAATGTTATTACTAAACTGCACATGTGAAAAATCAATATACTCTGTGTAATTGTGACCACATTTTCAGATATCACAGCTTAAAATGATAAAATAGGTCAGATGGAACATGCTCCCGAAAGAAAGGAGGTCATTCAACCTACTCAGCCTAGTTGGGTTTTAAACATCTATTTTTTTATAGGACTGCTGTGTGTTATGTCCTTGATCCAAGGTTGAGGTGCAAAATCACAGTATGTACATTCTGGGTGCTGAAAGCAGGCTTAACTGGAAAATAAATATACTAATTAATTCTAAGTGACCCTGCCTTAGCAGATATTGTTCTGATTCTCACTGCAGCATATCCAATTGATAGAAATTAATTGTGTTGTGGAAAGGAATTATACAGTAGTATCACTTTGGATAATATACATTTGACATACACAAGATATATACATTATATATATATACATTTTGTACAGTATGCATTTCTACCACAGTGATACAATATAAGGGGAGTATGCTTTACAGTTAAAGAATATCGAGCAGATTGAATGCTCAATAAGTACTGTTAAAGGATTGCTACTGTAAATCTTGAGATCCACAATGTGTAAAAAAAAGAAAAGAAAAATAAATCAGGTATAAAGACAGATGCATGCTTATCATATCTTCCCATATATAAACATATCCAGATTTAAAAAAAAAACATGAATGCTATTCATTACTCAATTATCTCAGTTATCATTATAATTTTCACTAGAAAATAAATGTTGCTTCCACTTTGTAACAATTCAACTATTGGTGTCTTCAGGGGCCGCGTATCTTATCAATGTGTTTGTAGCTTTCATCAATGACACTGTTTGATTTATTTTTCCTAGAGCTTATTTTTTGTTAACTACATAAGTCCAAAAATATATTTTGGGGATGCAAACCTTTTCTTTTGTCATGTCTAACAGCCCCACTGAGTATCTGTCACAGTTGAGATACGCTCGCACTGTGTACAGGGCTTTGTGAAACTGTCGCTCGATATCTGTCAGCTCCTCAAACACCTTGTTCGCAGACCACAACAGGACCTGGGAAAGTAAAACACGCTTCAATATATACTCAAAGTAAGACTGACATTAATGCCAACTCATTGCGAAGTTTAGAGTTAAACTGAAACTTTGTCTGGCAGTTAAAAGTCATCCTTGTAGTTACTTT